CAGGCTGGTCGACAAGGGCTACGCCTTGGAGGAGCACGCGCCCGGGCGCGCGCCCGGGTTTGCGCCCGGGTGCCCATCTCTCCCCGGCGACGCCGCGCGCGGCCAAACACCGACATGTTGACCCTCGAGATGGGGGGGCGGGCGGGCGTTCGACGCAGACCCGAGCTCCCATCTCTCCCCGGCGACGCCGCGCGCGGCCACGCGCCGACATTTGAGCCCTCGAGATGGAAGGGTGGGCGTCCGAGGCGCGGGCCATTTGGCATGGGCGTCGCCCTGGAGAGACAGACGCCCGGGCGCGCATCCGAGTGCTTATCATTCCCCGGCGACGCCGCGCACGGCCAAGCACCGAGCTTCCGCGGAGGGGAGCTCCCGCGGAGTGATCAGAAAGGCTTGCGGCGAGTTGGACACACACACACATATATATATATATATATATATATACACATATATACACACATACGACCACCCTTCGGGTGATAAGGAGGTTCGGGGGGGGAGGAACCAACGTTTCACTCGATCGGTCTCACTATCGATCTCACTATCGATCTCAGTATCGGTCTCGCTCGATCGATCTCCCTCGATCGATCTCACAGTTGATCTCACAATCGATCTCACTCGATCTCACTCGATCTCACTCGATCTATCTCACACTCGGTCTCACTCGATCATCATCATCATCATCATCATCATCATCATCATCATCATCATCGTCCTCATCATCATCAGCATCATCATCAGCATCACCACCATCATCATTATCAGCATCAACATCAGCATCAGCATCATCAGCAGCATCATCATCAGCATCACCATCATCATCATCATCATCATCATCATCATCATCATCATCATCATCATCATCATCATCATCATCATCATCATCATCTCATCATCTCATCATCATCATCATCATCATCATCATCATCATCATCATCATCAGCATCATCATCATCATCGCGGGACACCGCGGCACACCGGCGGGACACCGCGGGGCACCGCGGGACACCGCGGGACACCGCGGGACACTGGCGGGACACCGCGGGCCACCGGCCGCCCGGAAGGGAGACATTTGGTTTGGCCGCGCCTCAGCCACACGGGACACCAGCGGGACACCGGCGGGACACCGCGGGCCTCCGGCCGCCCGGAAGGGAGACATTTGGTCCGGCCGCGCCTCAGCCACAGGAGACTTTCTTCTCGCCCGCCCACGCAGCTTCGCCTCGCCCGCACGCACGGCACGCACGAACACGAAACCGAAATCGATTTCCCGGTAGGGGGGCTCTCCGTTCCACTTCGATCTCACCCCCTCACCTCCGATATATATATATATATGTATATATATATATATATATAGATATAGATATTCGCACCTACCAGTGCAAACCCGCACTGCATAATTTCAACCGGCCGACCGTGCCTGGGATATTTGCTAGGCTTCGTGTGTTGTGACGCGTGTCTGCCTCGGATTGCTGGGCCAGCTTGCCCCCCTGGGTTCGCTGGGATGTGTGCTCGGTGTGATCGGTGCTGGCCTGTGTCGGTGTACTCCTCCGGTGTGCTGGGATGTGCGTTGCCTCCGTGTGCTGGGATATGTGCTGAATGTGTGCTGGATCTGCTGAGATGTATGGGCGTGTTGTGGTGATGTGCCGCGATAAGTGCTGGCCGCGGCCCTCCTTGGCGTGCTGGGATGCGTGCTGCGATGTGTCGGTGTACTGCTTTGGCGTGCTTGTTGTTGGGGTGTCTCGGTGACCGACCGTGCCCCCCCTCCCCCCCCCTGCCCGACCGTTGCCCCCCGTTCCCCCCTTCCTCCAGTGCCCCCCCTCTGCTTCTTCCGACCGACCGACCGTGCACCCCCCCCCTGCTCGATTGTGGCCCCCCGTGCCCCCCCCTCCCCCGCTTTGTTGTTCGTTTGGTTGTCAGTTGGTTACGACTTCGATCTCATGTCATAACTGGTTATGTATGTTGTCCAGAACGGTGCAGGTTATATCTAGGTTACGCATGCGACTTCATACTCGACATTCGTTTGCAACACATGTACATTCGATAGTCGAGTGCCAAGCGATAGTACGCAACATCGACTTCAAATATACACATTGCGAAATCAAGAGGTGATGCCATCGACTCAAGACGTTGCATCCTTCTCGACAGTCGGATACTTTTTTAAAGGCCCGAGGCAGCGCACGCAGCATGCCGCGCGGATGCACGCGCCCGACTCAGCCGCGAACTTCGTCCCAGAAGCGGGCGGCCACGTTGTAGGCGGCAGAGGTTTGCGCCTTGTCGGTCTTCTTGAAGATCGCGCAGCCACGCGGGGCGAAAGCGCCGCGCGTGAGCCGTGCGGCCAACTCTCGCTTCAAGAAGCTCTTAGGGAGGTCTATCGGGAGGCGCCGCAAAAGCTCCGCCGTCGTCTCGGAGACCTTGCTGCCCTTGAGGCCCGCATGCGTCGCCGCCGAAGGCTTCTTGGCAGGCGCCGCGGAGGGCCCTTTGGTGGCTGGATCGGCCGTGTCTGGGGCCTCCTTGCGGCTGCGGTCTGTCTTGCCACCCGAGAGAGGGTCGTCATCGGAGGCGCCTTCCTCCTCGTCAGAATTTCTGCACTTCATGGCCCTTCGACTTCGCGAGCACCCCCTTGGATGTCTCGACGATGGCCGCGATGCATCGTTGGGCGGGCGCGGCTGCAGCAAGCGCCGCGGCTGCCATTGCCGGCGGGCCTCGAGCGCCCTCCTCCTCCCCCTCCTCCTCCTCCTCTTCCTCCTCGACCGCCGCCCCCGCGCAGGCCGTGTCCTCGATCGCGATGCGCGCGGCCGAGGCTGCAGAGGTCTTCGATGAGTAGCGCCTCTGCACTGGGGGCCCACCGCCTCCACCCTGCAACCTGTAACGCGACATCTGCCAAGTCCTCGGTTCGCTCCTGCCGAACGGCCGCCTTGATCGACGGGCGCGCTGCGGCCCGCGCATCCCCTGCGAGGGCAGCGTTTTTTGTTTGACTTCGCAGGCATGAAATCTTTCCGCGTTAGCTGCTTGATCCTCACGGGGATCAACTCTCGACTTGACGGGGCCATCGCCCTCGCCGCGCGCCCTCGGGTAAGTTTGATTAAGTCCGTTGGATCGATGGGATAGGTCATGGCCGCCACCTGGCTCGAGACGATCAGTGTCTTGGCGGCCACCTCCCTCTTGAAGTTGAAGAGCTCGTCGCGCGCCTCATTGGGCTGGAGCGAGCGGCCATGGCAATGCGACAAGATGGCGGGCACATTATTGACCGTAGGGTGCGACGGGTGCCGCGCGCCAATCTCGAGGGGGAGATCGGCCATCGTTTCCTTCTCCATCTCCCATGAGTTGTCCTTGGCCTTGACTGTTTCCCAAAGCCCCATCTGTCAAGTCATGGCACAGGTGCAAATGGGCCTGAGTCGGCGAGGCACTTCTGCACTGGAGACCCACCGCCTCCACCCTGCAACCTGCGCAACATGACATCTGCCAAGTCCTCGGTTCGCTCCTGCCGAACGGCCGCCTTGATCGACGGGTGCGCCGCGGCTCGCGCACCCCCTGCGAGAGCAGCGTTTTTTTGACCCCGCAGGCATCGCATCTTCCCGCGTCAGCTGCTTGATTCTCACGGGGTCAACTCGACTTGACGGGGCCATCGCCCTCGCCGAGCGCCCTCGGGCACTGCTTGATTAAGTCCGTTGGGTCGATGGTAGGTCAGGCCGCCACGTGGCCCGAAACGATCAAGCTCTCGGCGGCCACCTCCGTCTTGAAGTAGATGAGCTCGTCGCGCGCCTCATTGGGCTGGAGCGAGCGGCCATGACAACGCGACACGATGGCGAGCACGTCCATGACCGTAGGGTCCGACGGGTGCCGCGCGCCTATCTTGAAGGGAAAATTGGCCATCGTTTCCTTCTTCATCTCCCATGGGTTGTCCTTGGCGTGACTGTTTCCCAGAGCCCCTTCTGTCAAGTAATTGCACAGGTGCAAATGGGTCTGAGTCTGCGAGGCACCTGAACAAGCAGCGCGCCCGCCTTTCATGCGCAGAGAGACGGCTGACGCCATTGCGGCCCGCTGCTCGTCTGCGAAGATGGTCGTGGGTTCGGCCAGCGCCGCCAACACATTAGTGCTGTCTTCGATGTCATGGGGCATGCCCTTCACTGCCTCCAAGAAATGTGCAAGTCGAGCCTGGCGCGAGTCCTGCTAGGCCGATAGGGGAAAACATGCGAAGTGATGTGGGGGGGGGATATACCGACAATCGCATGATAGCGTTGGGTGTGTTTCTCCGACGTCGATCGTGAACAACCCCATCTCCACTGGAGCGGCCCTGGCCCTAGGTTTTAAACCCACGCGGTGGGCACGCAAAGGCTTCGGGAAAGGGGGGGGGGCATCCGCCACTTGCAGGGGGAGGAGGGGGGGGGAGCGTTGTAACTGGCCCACCTCATATACTGTCCGACCTCACAGTTTCCCATCTTCGATCTATCTTGATCTCGCCTTTCCCAATTCCTCATATCTTTCTTTATTTCTTTCTCTCTCTCTCTCTTTTTCCCCCCGTCTCTCTCTCTCTCTCTCTCCCCCCTCCGCTCTCTCTCTCTCTCTCGTTCTCTGTCTCCCTTTTTCTTTCTCTCTCTCTTGCGCGTTCTCTATCCCCCCCCCTCTGCTTATTCCGAACGACCGACCGTGCCCCCCCCGCCCGACCGGGGCTCTCCGTGCCCCCTTCTCCCCCTTTTCCCCCGTGGCCCCCCTTCTGTTTTTTCTGACCGGCCGACCGTGCCCTCCTCCCCCACCAGACGAGGAGGAGGAGGAGGAGGAGGAGGAGGAGGCGGAGGCGGAGGCGGAGGCGGAGGAGGAGGGGGAGGAGGAGGAGGAGGAGGAGGAGGAGGAGGAGGAGGAGGAGGAGGCAGGAGGAGGAGGAGGCGGAGGCAGGAGAGGAGGAGAAGAAGGAGGAGGAGGAGGCGGAGCAGCAGCAGGAGGAGGAGGAGGAGGAGGAGGACGAGGAGGAGGAGCGCCTGCGCGCCGCCAATGAGGACGACAGG